CCAGGGCAAACAGAAGTTACGATCGTCGGGCACCCCGAAGGAGGACTTTCGCTTCGACCCCATAGGCAATGTGCTTAGGCTGCACCATCGTATTGCTTGCCTGCCCGAATCATGTTACGTTCTTCGGGATATGCCACCCTTTGGTGCGCCGAGGCAAGACGCTGTTTCAGCGTGTGCGCATCCACCTGGGCCAATGGCAGCCCGGGACCGGTCGCCATAAGCATACCGGCCGGGACTGTCAGCGGCAAGCTGATAGCGCAGTGGAATCGCCAATTCGTCGGTCGCGCTCGGTGGATAGTTTCCACCACGGAGTCCCACATGTTTAACGCGGAAGCCATACTCGAACTTTTCGAAGAGCTCTACACGCCGGCCTTCAAGTTGCAAAGGAGCTGCTGCGGCCTTTCCTTACAAGATAAGGGCCTCTTGTTATGCGACGCCTTTACGGGCGTTCATGCCGCCACATTCGGTCTCGTGGAGAGACGACAGAGATGGGGGGATCAGAACAATGTGGAGATGCCGCACTTGCAACCGGGTGGATGGAGTGCGAAAGGCCAACCGGCCGATAGGCTGTTTGGGCTATATAAACAAAGAGTGAAACTACTGATGGATCGCAGCTTGGGCTTCAATGAAGACTATTTCAGCCGGAGCAGATTTCATACCCTTCCACTGTCTTGTTTGGGGGCCCCCAAGAGATCCGTGAACTTTGAAGAGGCGCATTTGATTTCCGTACAGTGTTGGTGGGAACTCCCGCTGAAGCTGTTTCGCATGGCCTGGCTGCAGACGGGGTACGTTTCGCCGGATGAAATGGCCTCCATGACTGGAGAGGATGCTTCATCTTTTGAGAAGGCCGGCTGAGATATGCCTTCCTTTTGTGTAGGACTTTTGGGTCCAGCTGTTGCTCTGGTTCCTTCGACACACATCTAAAATAAGAGATATATATATATATATATATTGTAGAATCGAATCTCTTCCAGGTCACAGGGACAGCTCCCGCAGAAATCGACGTCGTGGATGCTAACCCACTCTTGCGCATGAATCCGCCTTCTTGCTCAGAGGTGCTGGGCGCCGCGGCACCCGGAGAAGTGGTGTATATGTGGCAATATGAGGATCGATCGGCCCTGGCTGATGCCTCCTCCGGCAGCTCGGCAGTTCCAGCCGAATCTTGCGAATGGCGGCCTTTGCCTAAACTGCTGTACAGACTCCTGGACCGTGAATACGGTCGGTATTTGCATCCCGACGAAAGTCGTGCTCCTCCGCACCCGATCAGCAGCTTCGTGGTACATTGCAGTTTCGGCTACGAAATGCAGCGATCTTGGGTGTTCAGCAATTCGTCAGCACTCCCAGCTGGCGGGCGCAAGCTTCACACCACGAAGACTGGCAAGGAACGTGGCCAGTACATGATGGTGAACTTCGACAGGTCTTCGCTGAAGGTTCAGTTCAACGGACAGCCTCAGTGCAGGGTGCGCTGCTGCAAGGTGACGCATGAAGCGGGGGAAATTCTGACCGAGGGGGATATGACTACTTTGCGCGATCGACTGAGATGCTACTTGGACGACGGTGATGAGGATCATCATACATCCGGCGGAGTGCAAGAAGCTGCCCAGAGCGTGGAGGAGGTGTTTGTGTGTCATTTTGCAAAGAGTCTGTGTGCGGTGTAACCTGATGTGCCAGCGACTTGTGCAGGCAGAAGATGCTGGCCATCCAGATGCCAATGCTATGCTGGCGATCCCCGAAATGTTGCCGAATTCTGAGGAGGAGATGTGTTTGCTGGTTCATTCCATGCATGAATGCGCAAAGGAAGGTTGTGCAGAAATACCTGACGTATCACGTGTATACGTGTGTGTGTATATATATATAAATAACTCATTCGAAGGCAGAGGAAGCGGGCGATGCTGACGCCAATCTGCGGTGTGCTGCGACGTCACACATCCGTGTGACCACGGAGGAAGAGGCCATGGAGTCGTTTGTTGTTGTGAGATGACAGATGCCAAGTGCTGCGCATGAAGGCAGCTCCGTCTTCCGATCTCGGCGCTGGCCGAGAACCCATGGATGCGCTGGCAGCAAGCTATGTCACATGGCTGTTTGTGATTTTCGACCCGCACGTGTGCCATCCTTTTGTGCAGCAACCGTATAGAAGTTGTGCGCTCAGGCTTCTGAGGAGGAAGGCAGCGAGGAATTTCCGCCGTTGGGCCCGGAATGGACTGTGCTGATGCAGCGAACGAGCTCTGGCTCTACACAGGTCCGCATCCCGCAGGAGCCAGGAGCGTTCTCTACACCAGCGAGCGACAAAATGGACCTGGCCCCAGGGAGCCGCATTCAGCGGCGAGGGCCGGACCACTGCTTCCAGGTGCACTACAAGGTTTCAGGATCACCTGCGTATTCCAAGAACTTTTCTTGGAACATCCAGCCCAACGCCGAGCCCTCTCAGGACGTTCGTAGCATCATGACAGTGTGTGTATTTTCTGTCCAGATAATCGGACTCGTGACAGGAGTCCGCTCTGCAACAAGCCATTGCGTGGACGTGGCAACAGTATGACCTCCATGGTCCCAGTGCATGAACCGAGTAGATGCATGGCGAGTCTCACGTGCTTTGGCGGAGCCTTCAGGTGGGACACGTAAACAGGCAACATATGGGCTATACTGATGGACACACGCTGGGGAATCCTTTCGAAATTCAGATTCCAACCCAAAGGCTCCCGAATGAATGTGAGTGCAAGCGAGGGTGGTGCACCGCCGTTATCAGTTTCGTTGATGCCCCTTTGTACACAGATGCCTTGGGCTACGTTACACTGATTTTACAAGCTTGCCTAAATTTGACGGTGGTAATTCCTCTGGTGTGCCAGAAATCTGTGGGAAGGAGATAAAATCCGACGAGTTTTGCAATGCCGTGCATTGGTGACAGTATTCTTTGCAGTACAAGCTTCTTTTTTTGCAAGTTGTGCCGCCAGGACCTACGGCGTGGTCATGAAGGTCGTCATGTGCCAGCCACTTGTGGGTTTAAGACTTCTGCTCGTACTTCGGTGCGTTTTCTTGCCCGTCTGAGTTCTTACACAGGTCCGAGAGCTTTTAGGATGTATGTATATATATATATATATATATATATATATATATGCATTTTTGGCTACTAGAAGTGGTGATGAAGATGATGATGACCATTGTGGTCGCCACGCACCAGTTCACAACAGCTCCTATCATCACGATGTGTCATATGGCCGCCGTGAATTTCGACCCTCGCGTGTGCCAGTGTAGCAGCCGTATTTCGTTAGGCAGTTTTCTTTCGGAGCACGTTTCTCCTTTGCTCCCACTTTTGAATCTCGCTGCCGCGCATGCTCCGGTTCGAGTTTCGTGTTGCCTGCGCTCAGGCTTCTGGCGAGGAAGACGACGGGGACTTTCTTGTCCTTGCAAGTTGCTGCGCGTCCCTGCGTGTGGATGCTGGTGTGCCAGCCATTTGTGCAGAGTAACATAGCTGCAAGAGGTCCCGGTCTAGCATCTCTCATTCCGGGCCTTTTATTGTTCACTATGCCAGAACCCGAAACTGTGAGCCACAACTAGATGATCCTTTACCCAAAGCCCGAAGCCCCATTGAAGTTTGGAGCCGGGCGTCCACACGAATGGCATTGTGATGGGGTGTTGCAGCACGGCACGGGCCTGTTTGCGGGTGCTGATGTGCCAGCCATTTGTGTAGAGTCTACAAGGCAAGAGGTCCCGGTCTAGCATCTGAATCTCTCATTCCGGGTCTTATTGTACTCACGGTGAGCCATAGTTAATCCTCTACCCAAAGCCCAAAGCCCCATTAGAAGTTTGGGGCCGGGCGTCCAAACAAATGGCACTGTGATTGGGTGTTGCTTCACGTGCCCGTGTGGGTGCTGGTGTGCCAGCCATTTGTGTAGAGTAACACAGCTGCAAAAGGTCCCGGTCTGGCGTCTCTCCTTCCGGGCCTCTTATTATACTCACAATGACAAATCCCGAAACTGTGAGCCACAATTAGATAATCCTCTACCCAAAGCCCAAAGCCCCATTGAAGTTTGGAGCCGGGCGTCCACACGAATGGCATTGTGATTGGGTGTTGCATGTGCCTGTGTGCGGGTGCTGATGTGCCAGCCATTTGTGTAGAGTAACATTGCCGAATAAAACATAGCTGCAAGAGGTCTAGCAGCCTGGCAGGCAATATTCACGGCGTGGCGCATGCTTTTTGTATAGGTTATGTATATAGGCGTTGTTTCTGGCTCATCCGCACAAGGCCACCAGGCAACCCTGCTTGGAAAACTTGCGAAGGCTTTGCGAAGCTCGGTTTCAGGTAAGGCGTGTTTCTGACACATCCCTGCAAAGCCACCTTCGAACACCCGAGAAGAGATCGGACTAGGAACCTGTCGGCGCATCTTGACGGAAAAAGAAAGACCCTCCGCGCACAAATAGATGGCACGCGATCCGCAAATAGGCGTTTTTTTATCGACTGGGTGCATGTCATCTTGGCCCCCATGTCCATCCCCCCGGGGGGGGGCGTATGCCGTCCACTCGGTCGAGCCGTATATGCCAAAGACTTGTGAACTACTATAAACCCTAAACCGTTAACCCTGTTAGGAGGCACCCTTGTTTGTTGGCTTTAAGAGGAAGTCTGGGAGAATACCGACTTTCCGGTTTTTGCTGTTTGCTCAAGGACCAGCTATGCCCTACATACTCTGCAATGTAATTCCTGCCCGACAAGTTGATGTTTAGGACCCTACATCCCCATAAGAGATCCGGTAACCAGCACGACGCAACTGAAATCGAAGTATATATCAATACTAAGCCCTAAGCCCTAAACTACCCTGCAGCAGCGGGTCCTTCCTAGGCGTCTTCACTTTCCTCAGTCCTCCGGTCCTAAACACGCGGAGCTGAGCCCCGAAACACCAGTATCCCCTAAAAAGCCCAAAGCCATAAATCCCTCACCCCCGCAAAACCTAAACCCTGAACCCATAACCCCTAAACCCCTGAAGCTAAGAGCCCTCGTGAAGCGAAAGGTATTGGGTGCTTGGGCAGAGCGCAGTGACTGGGCTTTGGAGTACCATACTTTAGTACTTTTTTCTTACAGGAACCCTTATGAAGTAAAAGTTTATACTTTTTTTCCCCTGCTTACTTAAAAGCCCAGGTGAACAATCTACTGACACTGTTCGCCTGGATTGTGCCATGCCGCGGCTCCTGGAGCTGAAGCTCTTGGCTAGGATGCCCAGTAGTACCCGTTATAGAAGCCTCCATAGATCCCCTTAAGGAGCCTCAAAAGAATGCCCTCATAGAACCCTTATAGTACGCTTATCGAAGCCCCTGTAGATCCCCTTAACTAGGATGCCCAGTAGCACCCTTATTCCCTTTTTGTAGTCCAAGGTCCCGTATAAAGTTACCCAATACCAAAAAGGGAGCCTTCTTATTCCTAGGTTAGTGGGCATCCTCATTGGAGATAAGCCGTAATCCCCAAACCCCAAACCCTAATCCCTGAACTCCTAAAACCCTAAACCCGAAAACCCAAACCCCAAACCCCAACCCTAAACCCTAAACCCTAAACCCCTAACCCTAAACCCGAAACTCTTGAGGGTGTCGGGCTCAAGGTTTGGGAGTTTGGGGTCCCTGAACGCGGAACCGCCTAGAAGTGGAAGATAACCTGAAGGCCCCTCCGGGCTTTCGAGCCCTCCGGGCTTTCGGAGATGGTTTAGAGTTTAGGGTTTAGGGTTTAGAGTTTAGGGTTTGGGGTTAGTTGGAGGTTCATGGGTAGTTATAAGTAGGATTATAAGTAGGGTAACTATACTTATAACCCATATCAGGGGACTTACAACCCCACTTCTAACTAATTACCCATGAACCTCCAAGTAGGGTCCAGGGTTGGGGACTTCGGTCCATATGATTGCTGGCATAGTCACATCATGTCATGTCCTTCCCGACGCGATCTTCGAGTTCACCGCCGGCCGCCCTCCGCCTTCTTTAAATCCCGAAAGAACCCGAGAAAACCCCTCAGGAACCCGTAGAAGGTGGAAGGTCCATCTTCAGTCCCAAAAGATCCCTGCCCCTAAACCCCAGACGACGCTTGGTGACCTTAGCCGGAAAGACGGGCTCCAAAAAATAGCGATGGAGCCTCCGAGGTTGCTTCAAGAGTTAAGCCCTAACCCTAAAACCCTAAGCCCTAAACCCTAAACCCTAAAACCCTAAACCCTAAAGCCCTAAAGCCCTAAACCTCTAAAACCCTAAAACCCTAAACCCCTAAACCCCTAAAGCCCTAAACCCCTAAAACATCCTAAAACTCTAAAACCCTAAACCCTAAACCGCCCCTAAAACCCTAAACCCTAAACCCTAAAACCCTAAGCCCTAAACCCTAAACCCCTAAACCCTTAACACGAAGCCCTTCGACCCTAAACCTACCTTTGGTTAGTAGGGAATGGAGGAATGGGGTACAATTATAACTACTCTTACTACCATAGTATTATCATATTACCATCATATTACTACCATGTTACTACCATACTACTACTATATAACTACTCTTACTACCATTCTTCCATTCCCTACTAACCAAAGGTAAGAAAACCTCCGAGGTTGCTTCAAGAGATCTCGAAATGCTGTCTTCGACGAGGCCTTTACCGAGGCTCCCATGCGTGAGATGATCCGACGGAGGATCGGCCCCGGATGAACGCAAGTCCTTCAGGAGGTTTTAAGGGGTTTCGGGTTTAGGATTTAAGGGTTTCAGGGTTTATTGTTTAGGGTTTAGGGTTTAAGGCTTTTCTTGTAACAGCTGAATTAAAGTCAGCAAACAAAGAAACTACATAAGCAGTTCGTGGGTAAATCGACGAAGTGACGAAGGATCAACCACAGTTACAATGTCTGGGACGCGGACGGATTCGAGTTCCTGACACCGGATGCATGGCCGGGACGGAGTAGTTTTTCTGTGCAGAATGTGCTCTCAAAGGGTGGAAAATGAGTAAGAGAATACTCCCTATATTCTGTATATAGAATAGAAATATATATTAGCCAAGTTTGTTGTAACCCCGACATGTTAATGATAGTCATCAAGGCCCTCTGTCAGAGAAGAGCTGTAAACTGAACTTGAGAATTGGAAGACTACAAGGACATACTATCATCAACCCTAAACTCCAAAATTTCAAAACCCTAAGCTCTAAACCTTAAACCTGAGCTTTATAAAGCCTAAACCCTAAGCCCTAAGCCCTATAAACCCTATACCCCAGACCCCAAACCGTCACACTTTTGAAACAGAAAAAACCCCAAACCTCTGACCCCTGCGGTGTGACACTCAACCCAGACACTCTAATATCTGTTAATTAAGGGATAACCTTATAGATCCCTTAAAGGAACCCCAGGCCCCAGGTATTCCTTAATTAAGAGATATTGGAGTTTCTGGGAAGTGACCGAGGACGATGGCTCGGGACGTAGGAACCTCCACAAGATGGCCTCCGAGGCCCCAAGTAGGGCTTGGGTTTAGGGCTTTAGGGTGCAGGGTTTGGGGTTTGGGGTTTAGGGTTTAGGGTTCAGGGTTTAGGGTTTAGGGTTCAGGGTTTCGGGTTCAGGGTTTCGGGTTCAGGGTTTAGGGTTCAGGGTTTAGGGTTTGAGGAGGGGTGTAGGGGTGAGCTGGACCCTATAAGTCCTGCCTGTCTAGGGTTCCTTAGTCGAGGCGTGTTGATCTCTACAGTAGCTGTCAACAAGTTAGCCCTCAAGCCCTTATTTAATCAGGCCAGTTGCCAAGTGCTTGAGCTGTGGAGCTGGGGGCTCTTGATCCTTCAGCATGGGGCTTCTGGGGTTGGTTTGGTTTCCGCGAGGGTTTCCTTGGAGGTATGTGTAACCCTGCTTCTAAGTAGTGAGACGGCTCGACGCATTGTTGCATCACCTCTGAACCCTTCGCGCTTACTTGCATTTACATCCGCAGCCCTTTTGTGCGACCGCAGCTGCATCGATGATGTGTGATGTGAGCAAGGACTGCAGGTAACTGACCGATTTTCCTTTGTTTATGGTGGTCATGCTCCTCGTCGTTTGCGTTCATTCGGGATGGGGCTGGTCGTGTGATGGGGTATCCAGACCCCGGGTCACTCCTCTGGCGGGGCTCTCTTCATTTTTTTCGGGTCTTCTCCCCTGAAATTCCTGTTTTTTTTTCCGTGCCCCATTTCCCCCTTCGTTGGTCGTGGGCTTCGCCCGGGGGGTTGGGGGTGGCTTTATTT